ACCACCCCAAGGGGAGCGGGGGGGGGGGGGGCGCCGTGACCGGTGCAAGGCCCGGGTATCCCTGCCCCGGGCGTCCCAGGGGTCCCATGCAGGGCCGCACCCAGGTTCATCTCGTCCTCCCAGTAGCCGGCAGGCTTGCGCTGGCTGCGCAGCCCCAGCGCCTGCACGCAGCGGCAGCCAGCGGCGCGAGCTGGGCGCGCGCCGCAGACCTCGGCACATGCCCGCCGCACCACCACACTCTCAGGCGGGGCAGAGCACCACAGAGCGCAGCAGCAGTGGCAGCACGCGGCAGCGTGCCAGGCAGGCGGGCAGGCAGGCAGGGCCCCCCACCTGCGCCACCTCCAGGAAGCCGCCTGCCGCGCGCACCGCCGCCACCAGGTCTCGCCGCCCCGCCGCCTCCAGCTGGGCCGAGGTGGGCATGGTGCGCAGCCCCATGCGCTGCAGCACGCTCAGCGGGGCGGGCTGAGTGAAGGGCTCCAAGTCGCGCCTGCAGGCAGGCGGGCAGGCAGGCAGGCAGGCACGGCAGGCGACATGGGCAGGCAGGGCAGGCAGGCGGGCAAGCGCTCGGCAGCCGGGGGGGTCAGGAGGACGGGGCCACAGACGCAAGCGCAAGGCCGGGCACCGGCTGCCTGCCGCCCGGCTCACTCCAGGGTTGCCAGCAGGTTCTGCTGCCTGCCCAGCTCCAGCAGTCCCGCGGGCGGCTGGACGTACACCACGCCTGCGGCGGGGGAGGCAGGGGCAGGTCGGAGGGTGGCAGCGGGGGCTCACCGCCTCGCCCTGCACCGCTCGGGCAGCGCCAGCCTGGGCCTGCGCAGTGCCCCCAGGCATCGGGCTCCCCTCCCACCTGCTGCCAGGTCCACGCTGGGCACGATCTGGGGCACATAGGGGATCAGGTGCTCCTCCCGAGGCGCGCTCCTCGGCCCCCTCGCGGCGGCAGGGGGCCGCACCTGCAGCAGCGCCGGCGCCTGGCCCGCCTCCGCCATGGCCAGCACCTGCGGGGGGGTGCCATCAGGATGGGTGGGTGGGTGGGTGGGTAGGACATGCGATTAGGTAATGTTCAGTCGGTGACTCCATGGTGTAAAGGT